GTCAGTAATCAAACCAATCAAATTTCAGTTGAATCGAATTGTGAAATTGAGTGCAGTCTTTCCACAAGCACGCAGCTAGGAGGAGCATTGCTTCTGTATAAAAGCGGGAAAGCCAACATTTTTTTCCTCAATCAATCATTACAATATGAAACGAAAATATACAGGGTGCTTCACGAAAGGTGGACAAATTTGATGTTGCGAAAACTACGCAAGAATAATTACCAAGCTAATTATCCCGTACTTTAATCATTTTCCTAAATAGTCCCCTAGCCCAAAATAAAAGCGACACAAGCCTTTTTTTTTTTTTTTTTTTTTTTTTGCGATCCGTAGTTTTAGCAATATTGAATTTGTTTACCTTTTGTGAAACACCCTGTACGTACCACCCAATTCCTGAATTTAAATTAAATTGTATTTGTCAGAGTGCGCAAGAAAAACATACTCACTGAAGCCACCAACAGGTTTGCTCCTTGTTGTCCGTCCACCCAGCCCTACGGTAACGCCAAAACCAAATATTATTTACACATCATTTACACTGTGAAGAATTTGGTGGCTATTGCACCTTACGGATCAGTGATGTTTGTGTGCAAGGTGTGGACGACCGTCTGACAAGCATATTGCGAGAGGCTCTGGAATTATTTCGCACTTTGAACGTGGTGATCATATGATGGCCGACAGTGGGTTTTCTCTCGATCCCGCTAGGGGAGCGAAGGGAGTGGCATTCAGCATGCCAGCCTTCCCCCGAGTGAAGGTCCAGTTATCTGAACAAGAGGTGACGGAGATGAGGAGGATTGCGTCTGTCCTCATTCACGTGGAGCGGGCAATCAATGGGCTAAAATCCTACAGGATTTTGAAGCAGGAACTTCCCATACAGTGTCGCAAGGATGCAAGCTACATTTTTTTTTGTACGTGCAGGGCTGTGCAACTTGAATGGGGCCATTAATCAAGAGACGTTTTCCCCAACAGTTCGCCCATATGAAAGTGAAAAGGTGACTGACGACCACTGCATACTGGCAGCATCTTAGAGGAGTGGCCATGGCAGCTTTCTATCCTCATTTCAAGCCTTGTCGCGTTTCGTTCACAATGCAAGCAAGCAGCTTTGGCCTCCACTCGATTGCACTGCCAGTACGGGGCCTTCGGCAATCGCCTGTTCACCTTTATATAAATCACGACTCTAATGATAATTAAAAAACTTATTTCTGTAAACTTGTCTTTTTGTTACCACTGCCTCAGAGAGCTGCAATGTTAAAGTGGATGGCGTGAAGCATGAAAACGTTTACAGGCCGGTGTAAAGGGAAGCCCCTGGTCAAATGGATGACTGGTTGCTCCATTGTTCACATTTACTTCATGCAAAAGTATGTATTTTTTCCCATATCATGCAGGCTGTTGCTGGATCACTGCCTATGCAGAAGCCGTTAAGCTACAAACCACTCCTCATGAGACGTTTCCTTGGAATGCGAAGGTTTATTTCGTTGCTGTAGGGGTACAATAGTGATAATAACGTACATTTTCATGAATGGCTCCCTACCTCTCTGATAAGTATAAAACTATTTCTGTGCTGAACAAATTAGAATATTGATTGCTGATAGCAAATAGAGATATTGCCACAATACTCCTGATTCGCTAAGGTTCTAGAGCTCAAGTCATGGTTGAAATGCAACTTCTTAGACCATTTTAAATAATGGTGTTTTATTACTGTTTACCGAATGTTACCGCCAAAACTTTGTTACCGCCAAAACTTTGAAGAATCACACACTGTATAAAAATAAAGAATACGGCAGTGCCAGTCACCCTCAGTCCTTTACATACGTGCAAGCTGCTTGTACTCACTTGAGAGCTCTATCTTTTCGGAGTTTACTTCATTCACAAATGCCGGCAGCAGGCTCTTAAAGTAAAAGTTGGTCACTCTTTGTAGGTGGCCTTTCATGAAGTTCTTTTTGTAGGGGACAACAACAACCTCGTCATGGCCCTCTGTACATACGTAGAGATGGCCGACGATTTAGGCAGTGCAGTCCATTCTGAACTCAACTTGATGGTAGAACTTATTTCGTCCCTTTGGTTGCAACTCAAAAACCGCATCGCCATTCTTTTTAGAGCGCAGCTCTTAGGGGCCCGTTCCGGCTTGAGCGGCGTCGCCGTCGGCGTCGGCGTGACCAAGGTCACCCCAAGGTCATCCCAAGCTCACGTGACCCCCAGGGTCACGTGACCCCTAAGGTCACGTGACACCCAAAGTCACGTGACCCCGAGGTCACGTGACCTCCCGATGACGTCATCGTCACTGATGACGTCACCGGCATCCGCATCGTCATCGTCATCATCACTGATGACGTCATCAGTGACGTCACTGATTACCTCGCCGGCATCCGCATCGTCATCCTCATCATCACGGATGACGTCATCAGTTACATCACTGATGACGTCACTGACATCCGCATCGTCATCGTCATCATCGCTGACGACGTCATCGGAGTCCGCATCGTCATCGTCACTGATGATGTCATCAGTGACGTCACTGATGACATCATCGGCATCGTCACGTGACCCCCAAGGTCACGTGACCCCCCCAGGTCACTTCACCCCCCCCCCCCCAGTACCCTTCCCTCCTCCTCCTCAAGAGCTGTGCTCTAATTCGGTGTTACAGGGAGTTGTAAACGGCTTTCACTTTTTATGTCATACGTTCCGGATTTTAGTAGTTCTTTACAGTTCGGTACGTTCGGACACTTCATCTCTAAAAGAGCTTCAAGTCCATCAAAGATGCCATCGGGGTTGGCTGCAAGCCATGGGAGTTCCATACAAACAACCAGACCCGTTTGTCGCACTGTGCTGTGGTAGTCAAGCATATCTTTCCTCCTAGCTATGGGTTAACTGCGGCGGCCATGCTCCGTCGCTTGATTCCCTCGAAAGGACGGATGAAGTATGTCCTTCACATTCTCGGAAGGGTCAGTTGATGATAGTATTGCTATTCCCTTAACCATCGACGACGTTAACCGCATGGGGCGGCTCTCGTGCCAAGTGTTCAATTGCCTTGGTCCGCTGTTTTTTTTTTTTTTTTTTTTTTTTGCGGCGCTGGTCTAGATTTGGTGAACTGGCGGCAACCAGCTCGTTGTATGCCTCCCAGCAGGCAGGACAGCTGCTCGAAAGGGTGGTTGCATCTTCGTGGCTGTAAAGAGCAAGGGGATTTAATGCGTCGCATTGAACTGCTGAAGGGTCTCGTGGTGCCATTAGTGTCTCTTCGAACAAGGTCCCTGATTGTTTCATGAGCCCTGCAAGGGGGCCGTTTTCAATGTGATGGAGGTGCTCTTCATATGTGGGAAACTGCAGCACATTCACGGTCCCAAGAATTTCTGTTTTACTCATTTTCTTCGAATGAAATATTGTCGAGGCTTGTTCGTAATACATTTTTCTTGGTGTCTCAGTTCCAGGTGGCAGCTTCGTCAGTGCAAGTTGTGCCCGTCATTTTGTTCAAAATTGCATGCTCCATCTTCCCCGAGATGGCCCCAACATGGCTGCACACGACCGCCTGGCCAGCCATGCAGGAGCAACGTCCTGTAACCACCCAACTAGTGGTTTACACGCATGACCATGCCTTGTGTGGAGCAACATCAAAGGACTGGGATCTACCCCCTTCTGCTTTGGACAGTTCCCACGAGGCCGCTTGTTAGGTAGAGATATGAATCTGGGCTCTTGTAGGCTCTGACCTCCTGAAAGTCGCAGGCCTTTGAGTGGACAGAGTAGAAGACAATATCCGACTTCTCTATGGGTGGCCACGACTTTATATTGTCCTCCTATATTGACACCTCTTGAGGATGCACAAACGGCATCAATTCTGAAAGGAATAAAAAAGGCAATCAATGCTTACGACTCCTGTATATCGAAGTATCGGTCAACATTGACTTCCCGAGATAGGGCAAAGGAGCTATTTTAAGCAATATTTCACTTTGTAATTCAATTTTGTAACTTAACAGATTTATCATGGTTCCTGTCTTTCCTGGCACTGCTACTCAATAGTGCATTTGCGTACTGGTGATAACGTGCGGCAGAGTTAATTAAACGCTGCATTTTAACATTTCGTGCTCGCGGTCGGCATTATTGAAAACGGCTTGTGTTGTATGGCGAAGTCGCTAAAAGAATTCCTATATTGCGTCTCTTTTTTTTTTCGCTGTACAGCGTAACCTCGCCACAGAGTAATTTCAGATGCAGTGACCCTGGCAATTTTTTTACTTATTCCGAATAGTAATTTTACCAAGTTAACGGCTCATCATATAAAGTTGCCAATCCGTTATCTAAGAGACCTTCACCCTCAAGAGAATATGTAATATATGCGCCTATTTTACTCGAGCAGTAAGCTCTAGCGCAGGTGAGCACGGTCATGTCATCTTAGAGGCCTGCCCGACTTCCTGACTGCAGTGATTTCCGCCAGCCGAGAGGACATTCACGAACTACAGCACAATGTAGCGCATGTCATTAAAGATTGTTTAACTTGTCTTGTGTAAAATATCTCTAATAGTCACTCTCCCAACAACCCCCCCCCCTTTATTTTTATTATTTAGGGCTATGATAGGTCGGTTCGGTGGGCAGACCAGATGCATGGGCTTCCGCCTTTCCACCGAACCACCACGCCTGTCCTACTTCCATTTTTTTTCAATTGTAATAAAGTATGAAGTCGCAGTTATTTGTGCGACCTCAAATCTGCCCAAGCACAACTCGGGCGAGTGGAGTTTGAAGCATACCGCCTCCGTGATCCGTCGTCGCTCAACCGGAGCTCTTGCTACGACTCCAAAGCACGCTCTTAAAGCGCGATGCTCGACCGTGTTCGAAGCGAGCGGTAAAGCTATGCTTCAACTCCGCAAGGTCCAAGTAGCGCTGAGGTCTGAGGCAGGACGGCAGTTCAAAGCGTAGACGGCTCTATCTCGCGGTCCTAACGTCTTAATATGTTTTACCGATGTGAATGCTACGGTTAATTATACTACAATTCTGTAAACAAAATTATTAGATATGCTTACCGTCAAGTACCAGGAAATCCAAAGAAACCCAGGCGTCGCTTGTGGAAACCATCGCCGTGGCTCGCAAAAAAAAAACAAGCTTGACAAAAAAATATATAGGGCTTCTTTACGGTCGCAACGGAGCACGAACTGATTAAAAAAACGTCGGGATAACTACCCACCGACTAAAACTTACTAAAAGTCCACAAACCATATAAAAGCGGAAATCGCTGACAACATTCACATTGGGTTTGCTGGGCGATTGTCAGATTTGCCAACACCGGGTCCTCGGAGACACACCGCACGCTAGGCGGCACCAGGATCATTCAAGATGGAAGCGCCATGTAGCAACACCACCTAGATAGCTTTCAAGCCTGTGCGTCACCTGAATTGACGTCACGTCCCGGAGGCCTGCAGGGGCGCTGATTGATGCGAGCGCCGCGTCGGCGGTTGCCGTGGGACTTGTTTCCTATCATGGTCCCACGCGAACGCTGACGCGGCACTCGCATTCAATCACCACCCGTGTCGGCCTCCCGGACGTGACGTCAATTGACGTGACGCGCAGGCTTGAAAGCTATCTAGGAGGCGTTGCCTGTAGCCAATCTTGCAAATGCGTACACAAAAAACATCAATGTTGTATTTCTTTTTTTTTAATTTCTAGATTACTATTTTTTTTATTTTTGGGCGAGGGACAAAATGACACAACAAGAAACAAAATAACGGGACAAGAAACATTGCATTAAGTACAACGCTTGGACTTTGAAATCTGGTCCGGACAACACGCACTACCTTTGAAGGACATTGAGTCTTCGGGGTGCGTACTTTATATGTGCGATGAAAATCAAACACTGATTTTTTTTCGGGGAACACGCCCCATTCTGTATCCGTAATCAGTAGTCCAAGATATTTTATAGATATTAGGTGGCACTAAACTAATTATAAAAGATCAAGTCATTATCATTATACAATTCGAATTTACTTCTTATTATTATCCTGGGAAAGTTTCATTCAGCAAAAATCAATTTATTCTACGTGAGTAAATAAATGCCTAACAAAAATGATAAACCCTCTTTTTAGTGATATTATATTTTCATTAGCATTCAGAAAACAACTTGCAATCTGCTATCAGTGTTCGATTAACATTGAAATTTAAGAAAACCTTGTATAAACCATTTTAATGATTATCTTCTCCGCGCTGTCACCCTAAATATGCGCATGCGCAGTAGCTCTCTTTTGCAAAACGTCTAACGCCACGCAGGCGACAACATCCCAGTTAGAATTTCTCGCATGGGTGATAAGTAGAAAGGTATGCAGAAGTCATCATATAGGTGGGGACTACGGGAACAGTGTTCAACTCAGCAGTGACCAGAAGGGACACTTCTAGAACAAAAAGACGTATCCAAATTTTTCAACAATCTTATACACCCCAAGCGCCCGCCCACGTTGTCATTAACAGCGCATTTTTAGTTTGTTGCGACATACCGGAACTGGTTCTCTCCACGAAGCAGACACGATGGAAGGTCGGACGATGACCAAGGGAAGGCCCCGGCCATGTTCTGCAACGATCCACTCAGCCAGATGCTTGGTGAAGGTGTAAGTGTTCGGTTTGGCTCCCAGCAGCTCAGGTGTTAGTTTCGCAAGGTCGACCTCGTCCATTGTTCTTCTCCATTCAAATACCGGTGCGTAAAAAACGAATTAATGACTTTTTCAACGCTGAAGTTATGAGTTAGACCACAAAACCGCAGTCAGGAATGTTGACTTAGCTAGATACAACGCACAAAAAAAACAGTGCCTTTCCCTTCAGCAAATCCAAAGTCTAGCTTCCCGTAATGCACGTAGCGGGGCTATCCTGGTTTGAGACAGAGGAGCCCTGGTGCACACTTCAGATTTAAAAGCGCTTTGGCTGTAAAGGTCACAATTTGCTGGCACAAAACGTGACCTCTACAACGCCACTCATCAACCTGTTCCAAGAGAGGACGCTTATTCCTTCTATATTGTTATTGACACCTTCAGGTTTTGAGACGGTGAGCCATGGCGCTTCAGAGACCTCAAAATATTCTATAGCAATAGATTTAAGTAACTAATGTTCCTACTGGCTCTTCCCGCACCGATATCTTAAAACAATCGGTTCCACAAAGACTGCAGCGTTTACACCGTAAAAATGTTTTCAATATTTTTAATGAATATGTTATAACATTGATGGCATTGATTATCTATTTCCATATTTATATAAAAGCCTGGATCTGAGGCGGTGGCTTCAAATTAAATTATATTCTCCAAAACTGCTTACTTATGGCAAACATACCTTAGCTGGATATAGACGATTTTATTTTAGTGTATTAGAATAATCATTCTTTGTATACTGTTAATAACCTTAGGAACTTAAGCACCGCATAATTAAGTGTAAAACAAGAAAGTGTATAAAATAAAGAGCTTTATGAATCACACTATACGTCTGCTTCCTCCATGAGAGGTTTTCTATGGTCGAAGTAATGTTGTTGTTCCTTTCAGTGTTGACAAATACGTTTTTTGTATTGTTTAGAATATTCCTAGGTTCAGTCAAGATGACGTTATACCTGCCTATATTCGCTTTTGTACTAAGTAAATATCGCATAGTGACGTTATTTAAACAAACGTGAAAACTATTGAGTCCTTTGTAAGTTCTCAAGATTTTTTTCACTGTACAGTTTGAACTTAACTATTTTCCATATATGCTAAAAAATGCAAAGGCGTCAGCGTACATTTTCTTAGAACATCCGACGGCGGAGAGGTCAGAATTGTTGTAAGATTATTTTATAGAATACATATGCTTTGATCCCTATAACAAATTTCCTATACGCGAGAAAATCTTGATAACAGACAATGTGTGGCATCATGTCGGTTCAAAGCTGAGACCACTATTCACGATTATTACACTGATAATTATTGTTACAGCGGGCAAACATATATATGAGAGTCTTACTTCGTTAACGTGATAATGTCATCCGTCTCTACCGTTGGTGGGTACAGTCGCTCCTCCAACGTGTCATGATCGGAGTTGACGAATGCTGTTGAGACGTGCACAATGGCCTAAAATTAAAAAAAAAAACATGATAATTTATTTGCAGCAGTTGTGACGGGTTTACTGAACACGCCCGAAATGTACTCACGAGGAATAACTAAATAAATATATATAGCCTCTTGCTCCATGCGTCCACCAAAGCTTTCACAGCGGAACGCTTCAGAAAACAATATATGAAAAATGGTCTTCGCCGTCTCGAGTACTTTAAATTCGAGGTGCCACCTATTCAAATACAATAATCGTTACGCCATCGGTCGCCACCTGAGGTGATTCACGTTATATGACTCAAGCCTTACTAAACTCAACATAAATGTGGACTCTGGTAGCCGTACTCTCAAAGTTTGACTAATTGGAACTAATTTATATTTAGTATCATACCTAAGTGCACGCGAATTTGTTAAACAGTCTGTGACTAAAGAGCATCTAGAAAATATGGTATTCACGCGCTCATACTATGCCGACAAAAGCTGGTGTGCCTCTAGTCGGGAATAACATGCTGGAGTGACGTGAAACATATAGGTCATGAAACCGCTTACTCAAGCGTTACGGCGTGCACTAGGATCCATATGTAAAATGATATTGAAATATAAATTACTTTTTAAGAAATCTTATAACGAAGACCTGATTGTCCGAAAAGGTTTCTACGAATAACACTTTGAAATACAAAGGAACGACGTAAAAACTGTCGCATTGCCAAAGACATAATCAATAAAAGCGCTCGTAGATAATAGAATCAGTGGTTAGGTCTTAGATCAGTGGTTAGACTACGCTTTCGCCTAGTCTAACGACTGATCTCTATTGTACTAGGCTGGGTCGCAAATCGGGGGTCCGACGTTCACGCCGCCGGCGGCCATTGCTTGATTCCTGGTTATACACGCAAGTCTATGAGAGAAACACATTAAAATAGGAATATTAAAGCTTCTACACGGTGTTCGCAGGCGAGTATTTTAACGCGATAGTGTTAAGGAGCTGGAGCCGCAGAAAAGCCGGTGTTGCTGTCGTGACAAGAAAATCGCGGACGCGAAAATCGCGACTGATCAATAGAGTCATGACGTCACACATACATGACCTCGTACGGGAATTTCAAACAACCCACAACACTCACGTGACGTAACGCGTGGAATGAAAGCGATTAGAAACACGACATGTAATGCGAATTAAAAGTCGCCGCATGTCTCGGGCGATATCACTTTATAAAGTAATTCATTTGCATTAGGGAAAAATTTGAAAACTTTTAGGCGAGACTCGAAGTCACGACCGTTCAGTTGCGAGCCAGGAAAGCTAAAGGCTAGGCCACCGTGTCCGCCGCACTTCTTGCTCATTGGCAAGAAGAGCATGCATGAGAGACGAACGACAAGGCGATGCGAACGGGTCAGATAATGCTGTCCCGTTTCGCTCTTCAAGACAAAGCTTAAACGTTCGCCTTTTTTTTTTCATTTCAATCACGTGCAAAGATATAATATGAGGTGTTTCAAGAGCTAATCGGTATTTGCCAAGCGTTCGAACGTCGATTAAAACAATCAATTGTGCCGGAGCACCACTGACACCGCCGGCGTCGCTTGCATCAAGTTCTCAATGAAATGGACGTTATACGAATCAACGACACGCTCCGAGTTTTAGTTCGTCACAAAAGCCCTCCCATCAATTCAAAGCAAACGTTTAAACCAGAAGTACTCTGTACGAGCGCTATAAACGATGCGAATGTACTTACTTCATATCACTAGATCACTCAAACAAAATTAGAACGTTTAGAGCCAGGGCTGACATACTGAAATATTCTTTTTTTCCTGAACACAGTCAGAGAATGGAACGAATTATACCAGACGACACAGTTGTAATCTCTTCCAGATTTCTTTTTTTCAATTTTATTTTTTCAATGAGGTGACTCGCGACGGTTTGGAAGCGCATGAATGATAAACTGCTTTTTTATTATGCGTGAGTTCTCTCGCTTCAAGTTTTCTTATTTTTATGTGATGGTGTGTGGTTTAACAGTGTACTTGAGAATGTTTTTTTTTTTTGTAACGCCTTGTTAAAACGTGGCGGTAGCTCTGAGCACATTAGAAGTAATTCATGCAATTGCTTAAACAAAAGAGTGTACTCCAGCGAATGTTTGTCGCTTCATATGTGAACTTGCTTTTCCCTTGTGAGTGTAGCAACATAATCATGGCTGATGTAACTGTAATCTCATCTCCCCACCCTGCAGTAATGCCTCCGGGCGCTGCGGGGTAATGGCTAATAAGCAAAGCAATAAATAAACTGTAAATTCCTTTTGAATTATCGAATGCTAAGCTATGATGAGTGCAAGAAGACGAACGACTTCACACTGACTCTCTGCAAATATTCTATCGCTGTATCTGTATCGCTGCCCAACAAAGTCACAACCCTCGACTCTCGGCCAGTAAACATTTATTAATGCGTTAGCATCAGTGCCCACATGACAGGGAAAAGCTGACGGCGTCCGTTTGTGGACAGAACAGTGAAAGAGCGAGCGCGCCGCGTGGAGAGGAGGAGAGTGGTGACGGACAGAGGGAGGCGACGTCATGGGGCGGAAGCCAATGCGCGCGCGGATGCTGGAGCGAGTTTGAACTTGCCGGTGCTCGGAGCGCTTATGCCTAGTCATGCGCTACAAAATGGAGGGGGAACTAAGTACTAGCGTTGGTCCAAGTAATCGTCAAAATTATTAAAGGTAGATTCATTGTTCGATCTTTACAAAATGTGTTATTAAGACCCTTGAGAAATGCAACGGACATCCCCTTTCGGGAAACGCTAACACTGACGCTGTAAAGAAGCCAAAAAGAGGCCGCAAAGTTAAGAGGAGGCAAAAAGAAAGGCAAAAGAGAAAATCAAAACAGAAACCTGAAAGGATCAGAGCTAGCGTTTTCCAAAGAGGGGCGTGTATGGCCATTCCCAAGCGTCACGCTAAAGCATTCCCTAAGGATCCTCCGATGGATATTCCTTTAATTAAAAAACATTCGGTATTCTCACGCTTTTGATATTTGAACCAACAATATGACTTGTCATTCCCGTCAAATGAACACATTGTTCACAGACGGACGCGCATGGTCCAATCCCTGTTATCCAACATTTATTCGCTCCAGTCATCGTAGGTTTCGCATATAAAAAGCTGCAGGTTGCAATATGTTGTCAGACTATCGCTAGTTTCGAATCCTGCTGCACAGCCTCACCGGCTACGGTGGCACCAGACATTGTATTTTGCTTTCTTATTAGTTTGTCGAAATGAACACTTTGTTTTATGACTTTACCACTTGCTTTTTTTTGTAATTCGTGAGAACATTAAACTATATCTATAAAAATTCCAATGGCTATTTAAGAAAGCTTAATGTTTCTCCGTGCACTTCATGGCCTTAGGTAGAACAAATATTCTATTAAGAAGGCTAGGTTTACTTGGAGCAGTGATTTTCTAAACAGGAAATATTTAATGTTCTACAATTCTCTTTCGGTGGCGAAATGTTTGTGCTCTTTCTTATATTGCCAATAAAACTTTCGCTCAACCAACAGTTTTGAAAAAAACGTGGCAGTTAGCTGTGATCAAAAAATTAGCCAAGTGCATTAATTACATCGGCTTTTGTCGTAGCTTGAGATGCGCTATTTTGAATTACGCGGATATGCCATTTCTACAGGTCATTAATATGTTTTTTTCTACGACAGGAATTCAACTCACCTTCATTCTTTTTAGCTTATGGCAAAGGTCCAGAACACTTTTTGTACCTTCCATGTTAATCTTCACAGCGTTTCTGAAAAAATACGCTCATTTGTGCAATCAGCGTAAATTTAATTATTGAGAACTTCGTCACCGTCACATATACAACTGAGGGGATCACAATAAATATAGAACAAGCAATGCGATTGTGATCGTGATGAAAACGCTAATACATTGCTTTTCTTCGATGCACAAACTCTAGTGAGACCCAATCTGACAATCACGCATCTGGCGGTTCTCATCAGATGTGGCGACTAGAAACATGCTTGTTCCAGACGGATATTTGTTCCAGACTCGGGATTTGGCTGACGCAGCCAAACGCTCCGTCAATGATGGGCTGGAGATCGCGTACCATCTGTGGACTACTGATTGAGCATGACTGTAAGGTAAACATTGAGGCCGCACTTGTGTATAATGTGTCCCAAGCTCGACCGATATTGAAGACGTATATAATTGAGGGAACAGTTATGTTGGTAAAAACATCGTACCGGGGAAAACAAGCTAAACAAAGCGCGCCCCGCAGTTTCACATTCTAATCACTATATTCGTTTGGCTTCATTTGCCAGATAGTGTATATTTCGGAATACACAGAACGCACTGAGAGCATAAAGCAGGTACGTCAATTACAGTGTTAATCGGAGTCGTCTATTTGAAGGCATTTCCTTTGAAGACAAAGGAAAGCTGGAATGCTATTTATCGCAGAAAGAAGTGCCTTGTGAAGGTTGTATTTTTCTCGGACCCATTTTTCCCGCATAATGGACCATATTTAAAAAGTCAGATATTATGTGGAAGAAACAAGTGTTACACTGGTTTGCTTGGCATTTTCAAAATGGTCTAACAAATTTCAAGCATTTCCTTCAACAAAAAAGCTCGCAAACTGTCCACTTCCATCTATAGACCTCAAAACCCTGACCAGGAAGTGCACTGCATTTGACCAAGCCACGTAATGGGTGAACGCACCTACGTTTTTCATACAAATATTAAGGGCTTAACGTGTGTTACATTGCGGAAGGCCAGCATTTAATAGACAGATCTCACTAAGCGTTCGGCGGATACGTGGCGACGCCATAATTTTAGTGCACTGGAGGCAACCGGACTCTATGAAAAGGCTCGGGCCGTCTCGTGCTCTACACGCCAAGAGCTTTAGCCAGGTTGTCGCTCGTGCAAAAACACTAAAATTACCCAGATGCATTGCTGCAGCGACTATGAAATCAAACTACAGCTGGTGAAATCGCTCAACCTGTTTAACACATTATTTAATGAAGAACACGGCAGTGTAAACGAGAACAACGCTCTCTTTGAACACCCACTTGCCTAAATAACAAATGAGAATATTTTGCGGACTTTAACCTTGCAACTTGCCCGTTGAAGTTCTTTTAAATTGTGTGCTTGCGTGAATTTGTGATTGAATTCTTCAGACGGATCCGCACTACGCCCCTCTTCCCGAGTTTACTAGAATACCTTAATTCTTTATTGACGTCGGTGGTTCAAAGGCTCCTCAAAGAGATAAAGCAAGGTGAAGGCGTGATACAAAAGCCCAGGGACAAAACAAGAAGACCAGTGGTAGTTTCATACATGCATAAGATCTCTCATAGCCTTAAAAAGGCAGCGAATAGAGTTAACATCGATGTAGACTTTTCAGACTCGAAAAATCTCTATTGCATACGCGAAAAGGTAAATCCAGTACACTGCTCCAAGAAGCAGAAACCGTACTTTGTTTCCTGTGAACAAGGTGTCATTTCTACCTTCCCACTTTCCGGCAGGGGAGAGTACATAGGTCACCTGGGCCCTGTTTAAATGACCGCCTTCGAGAGCCAGGCAAGAACATCACCAATGCCAACTCGGGTCATATAATAATTCACTGTATAAACTGCGGGTGTTCGGCGCTTTTAAAGAAGTTACTGGGCTAGGCAAGAGTCCCAACCAACTCACCACTGAAATTATAGAAGGGGCAGGCAATCAACGCGGAATGACAGGTGTGTCAGCAGCCCATCTCTAACTCTTTCAAAAAGGGAACCACAATATTTGGCCAAAGGGTGTCTCAGGCAACAAGAGTGGGAATTTCTTAGTATTTTTCACTTTCATCTCGTTCTTAGTGCTTAGAAAAAAGAGGGGTTCATTGTAAGCAGAACAATATGACCAATACAAGTTAAGAATTGTGAGTCAGCGCTGAGAGACTGTGTTATGTTTTAGTGTGCCTGTGTCCCTTGAGTGATTCTCTTTTAGTGCGCTCTAACGTTATATAACATTCCTACACAAAATTTCTTCGTGGTCCTATAAAGTTTGTGATATGTTTATTTTTGTCTAATAGATTTGAAGCGCTTTTGCAACACTTTTTGTTGGTATCTTCTTCAACGTGGAAGCGCGCGCTCGCATTTGCCTAACTAAACGAGCGAGCATAAAACGTTTAAAGCGCTGCAAGTCCACCAAGGCGATTCCACATCACTCGCAGCGACATCTGCGCCAATTTTTGTTGCCACCTGCTGCCCTTGAAAGCCAATGATCGCGCCGCACCTGTCTGCACGTGTCTCGCACGTTCACACGTCAATGGTTGTAGGTACTTCTAAAAACCGAGAGGGTAAATTTTATCCAGGAGCTTTAGCTTCGTAAAAAGCGTAAGTGTGCAGGCCAGCACGTTATAAAATATTATAATCTAAACCCTAAGACACGGAGGAAATAAAATAATGGACAAGACGAAAGAAAATCTCACACAGCTGGGCCGCCGCTTTTGGCCATCAAGAGAAGGGAGGACTTAAAGAAACAAAGTTCAAGAGAAGATAATTCAGCACTCTCGACTATTCTTGGATATTATTTATTCCTAGTGAAGTCCTTATTTCGCGAAGGTAAAAGTGAATTTGATACAGGGACCAAAATTTTGCTTAAACAATAGACCTCCCCGTTTCTATTCATTTTTGTGTGTGAAATCAATTGTGAAAAAAGTGCCGGCTCAGGAGGATCGAACCACTTTTCTAAATGAAGCAGTTAATCAATTTTGTGAAAATGGATGCCCTTTCTTTTCTTGTTGAACGGTCAAAATTTAGTAAGGTTTCAGCATTGAAAAACAAGCATTTCGTTAAGTCTTTGTCCTTGCTCCAGGCCAGATGGCAGTGGCCAGATGGCAGTGCACCTAGGGGGCGCATTAAATGAGAGGGCATTAAATGCAATTTCGGAACTTTTTAGAAAGATCAAGAAGGGCGTAATGGTTGTAAGGCCGAAGGTGTGTAAAGTTCTAGCTGATAATGAGGTAACTGCCACGATGAACAAGATTGGCGGGGATGCGCGTTTTTTTTTTTTTTTTTTGTGGTAATTTTTGCTTTCTTAAAGACCATAAAAAGGGCTTTCCGTTCCTCGTGGTTTTCATTTAAAACGGTTTGTGTTAGAAGAATATGTGTTCTTAGAGACTTGTTTGCGGTACGTCCATCTTGAAAGCAGTTCGACCCTTCCAAATTCAAAATAGTTGCTTTACAGCCTGCCTCCCATTCACCAGAAGGCCTGCATTTTGTTATCCTTAGACATAAAATATACATAGTATTCCTTGGACATTCAGCTGTCGCTGAGAAGGGTTCGAGACCTTCTTGAGCTGGATTTAGTGTCCTTTCAAGCTCAAGCGGGAATTTCGGTCGGCGTATAGTTACAACCCTTGAGCTGTTATTTAAGGTCAGCAGAGCAATAGTTTTACGGATATTCTTTTAATAAGCGGAGAGGTGTGTATCGGCTCTGCGGTGGCTACGCTGTTGTAGGAGTTTCATATGAATTGGCTGGACAGGGAGGTAACATCTTTCGTTGAAGCTGTGTGGTATAAGACATGATTGTTCGTAGATTTGTCAAGAACATATTGATATGTGCCCCAAATGAGTACAAGGCAACTAAGGTTCGGGATTTTATTATCGAAGTTGCAGGGGAGTTACAGTTCACGGCTGGTTCCACGGTCAAGAGGAAGTTGCAATTTCTAGATCACAGTTGCTAAAAGCTCGATTGTTGGTTGTATTAAAAAGAGTAAACAAACAGGGTCGTATCTAGGCTCATATGGCCGTTCAAGATACGTAAAGGTTAGTGTGGTAAAGTTACTTATTTGTAATGTCGTAAGAAAATCGTGCATTCATTGTGCCGGCAGTGCGCTAGTGACACAGTTGGAGTAGTGGACGTTAGTTATAGTTTTTATTGATTTACATCAATTTTGCGAAGACAAGTTGTAAAAATGCCGAAAGGATTTGAAGGTGCTCCGAAGAGAAATGCTGTTGTTGTTCCGTAGTTTCACACGTTTTCCCTTATTATAAAAGCATTTACTCTAGAAGTTCCAAGTAAACGTAGTTTTTTTACGGATTTCCGGATCGGTAGTTTTAAACCGCTTACGTTTGAGCGAGAACAGAGCTCAGTGAAGAGGCATAGGAATCCTCCAACTCTTTGCCTCAAGGAAGCTGTGTTAAAGATTCCGTTCTATTGGGGCCTCTGATACGTGGGCCAGAGTAGTCGGTGCGTAAATGACCGCATGTTCAAATACAAAAGTGTGAAAATGTATCTTCCTTATCAAAACTAGTCAAACATATTGCTAAATGCAATGCGTGTTAGCCACTATGGGAAAAAACTTCAATCCTGCGCAAAGAATGAAATTCCTTTAAAAGACTCCTTGACAAGCCTTAACTTTAATGGAAGAGTTAAACTGTGTAAGCCAACCGTCTATACTTTTGAACGAACGCGTGAAATTGTATTCTGTGACGAGTTATTTGTGTTTTTGCTTTGTGTTGTTGGTGAAGTCAAGGGGTAGATTGGTACCTTTCGCTTGGTTCACATAGCCTTAACAATGTTCAACATGTCCAATCATTGGGAGGCGGGTGTCTGTTGTTCGTGCGGTGCATAGGCTGGAGGTCAATCTGTTCGGCGGCGTTTTCGTCAAATCTTTGCGGTGGCATGTCTTTTGCCTTCCCTCTTTCCTGTCCGTGTGGACGGCTATATATTGTTTTCTTTTTCTCGGGAATAAACCCAGTAGTGTTTCTGATTTTGTGTCGTCTAGTTCGTTATTTTCTTTCCTTCGTG